ACAGAACCATGTTCATTTTCATGAACGGGCCCTCTGAAATACCGAGAAAAGGAGGTCCCTAAGTTTCCGTTCCTCGGTGTAACACACTTTTATTTTGGCATTTTTGGGTTGACGGTGCGCAAATTCGCTGCACAATGGAGTTACATCAAAACCCGAACAATCAGAACTCCATTTTGCGAGCGAGTTTTTGGAAGTTAACTCGAAATGTAAACATTTGTTACCCCGAGGAATCGAACTAGGGACCCTCCTTTTCTGGTCTTCAGAAGGGCCGTTCAGGGAAAATTGAACCATGGTTCTGCCCGCAGACCCCGCAACCATCCGGATTCAACAGCATACTCACCACCCTACACACCCCGCGCGGTGGCTTCTCCGCGGGAATCTGCTCCCTATAGTCGATGGCGGCGAAAAGAACGCATTTTCAAATAAAGCTCGTCACGCCTGAAAGACGCTTCCTGTAAAGTGACATACCCTCCGAACCCCGAACTTCGCGAAATCTTTCTTCGCTCAAACTAGCTCCCTGGACTTATCGTCAGGATAGAACAGCCGACAGGAAATGTCTCCTTGTTGTAAGGCAATCCATTTGTAGATCGACACGGGATGCTATGTGTTGGATGAGCGGCAGAGACTCCCATATGAAAACGACAAAAATTCGAAATTCAACAATACCGCAAAGTGATTCACTAATTATGGGACAACCTAAAGGGGGGGCGGGCGGCGTTATTTCTTGTGGATAATGTTGCTGCGCTAGCGTTCACCCACCCTTGCAAATTTTCAAACAGTATACGTCTCCGCCACCTGATCATGGCTACTCGGCTTAAGCCACTCCACTTATCTACCCCTCCTATATCTAGAAGGCGAGGCATTGCTCCCTCAAAAACATCTCCTGAAGCTCTTTTCTTAGATGGATGTGTGGGGTAGAAATTTCTATGCCGCATCTGCGCAAAGCGGCCCTAAATTATTGTTGCACCGGACCGCAAAGATGACAAGCCATCGCCCGCTCCTGATGCGGAATTCAGGCTACTGACACTACTTGGAACCGCGTTACTGCCGTGCCGTAGAAATCTGCATCTTGTACACACATAATATTTGATGGATGGGAAGCTGGTGACGACAGCTTCCGGTTGAGTGAGCAGTTAGAAAGAGCCTCAGTCGGATCGTCTCGACAAAAATGTGAAGACTTGATTGGTGAACAAGTGAATACTGATGGCAAACGATTGCTCCATCGTTCGTTGACGTAACATACTAGAGGCAGTAGATGCAACGCTGTTCAGATGTATTGGGTTGGTGCATAATATCGAAGCGTTTTTTTCAAGCGTATAAATGCCATCAGTACAATTAGAAACCGAAATCGCGTATTTCATTTAAAGTGCGTTTTCCGTTCCACAAAACCTAATTTGTCTTTTTTTGAAATTATATTTGTACTCATATATAATACTTATAAGTTGGAAAATTCAGGCAGCAGAAATCAGCATTTCGACAGCTGCTATTTTTCAGGTCACATCAAAAAACGTCAAAAAAGAGTTCTTTACAATTCGTTGTTCTTATCGAACCTTGCTCTAATCAACCCTACCTCTTTCGCGCAAATTAAGACCATATTTTTGCCGTACAAACTGAGAATAGTGAATCCTTCAAAAACCAGCCCAGAAGAATTTTTTGAATTTAAAATCCGGTGACTTCCTGCGAAATAAAATAAAAAAGCATAAAGCATATGTCGTTGAGACTTTCTGGGATGCGGCACACATTCTACTTCCACTTGTGTATTCGTAGTGGCGCTTGAATGCGATGTGGCCGATACAATGACGTGCGGGGCCAGCCGATGAACAAGTCAGTGTTTTTGTTATCCTCCCAGACAAGTCCGGTACCAAATAACCGATCCCGGAGGGATGGAAGGCTTGGTTGGCCCGGCGACTCACGACAGGAATTGATCCTCAGGCCGCTCGCGTGGTAGCGTGGCACTTGCTACTACTTCCGCCCCAAAAAATACAATAAAAAAAGTTAAATACCATGTAGGAGGGGACATTCTTCAACGTTTGTGAGCAAACTAAGAATGCAAGCGCCACATTCATGCACAAACAACCCAAACATCGAATAGTTGAGTCCGCGTTGCAATTGCACTTCAGCGAGAAACGAACCTTCTTATGATAAATCTATCAAATTAAGACCCTCTTTTATGCATTACGTGTCGCTCGAGATATTTTCTTATAAATGCTTGCAAAGACAATCTTGTCTTCTAAAGCTACGACGTCCCATACGCGATCTCACCTGATAAGCTTTAAAAATCCGCCCGAACTTGCACGAAAACGCTGCGATCTCCTTTTCAAAGAGAGTGTCGAAAAAACTTTGCCCCACAAAAGTATTCGACGAGGTTTGCAGAGTTCCAACAAAGCATCACATCACCTTGGTTGAACGATCGGGCTCCTGAAGGTAATCTGTCAATTTGCTCTATCAAATCGCATTCCATCTCCTGTCAATACGTCAACTATTTCATTTAATCAAGCTCATTTCGTAAAGAACGGAATTAAGACCTGTAAAATTGATTTACACCAATAAGAAACTTCTCGATAGCTTAGGAATGCCTTGCTTAACCAAAGTTTCTGTAAGTGTTGACACAGCAGTCAAAAGAGAGAAGGCCACTCGTGTTTTCTGTGCCATTGACATCATAGGACACGAGCCGTGAGACCCTCTGTGAGACGAAGAAAATGCGAATAAGCATCAAATTGTAGAAAAATCGTTAAGTTGCGATGGCCGCCTTGCTATGCCGTCTGACCATAAACTGTCGGACTGTTACAGGTACCCAGTTCCTTCCGAGAAGGTTACAATAAACAAAACGTTTAATTTTGAGGAGTATGTGTTCAACTGAAAGACACACTCCTTACGCCGAGTACTGTTTAGCTGTGAAGTGCGCTTGGAATCAATGACAGCAAGATTGAGCGACATGTTCTGGGCAGTTTTCTCCCATGTGGATAATTCGCCGTTCACGATATTTTCCTATGTTTCGTAGAAAGGGAAGCGATTCAGACAGTTATCGTTGCTGCCAAGTTAAGCAAGGCGTGACGGCATTCACGACGAGAAACTGCGCTGTTTAGTGAGCGAGGACTGGTGAAAGCACTAGACCCAAAAAACGACCCGCCCCTTAGTTTGGTAGGGATTTGGACGAGTTTGGCGTTGCCAGAAGCAGCACAAATGCAGCTCACCTCGATTGGAGCCCGTGGTTGGTTCTGCCACTGAACGCATTGCGGGAAACTACGGTCACACGTATGAGAATTTGCTTGAGTTAGTGGTTCATGACGGTGAAAAAACACGCGTCAAAAAAGGAGTCCAGTTTCTGCATTCCTTGGTAGAATTTTCTACTTTTTTCGCCACTGAGCGTACACTGAGCACCACAGCGCTCCTTTTAACCCTTTTAGAAACTACTGATCGCTGGCCCTTCACGTTCTTAAGACACAAATTTTAATCAGCATGAACCATAAGGTATAATCTTCAGCCACTAACCTTGATGGATCAATTGGCAAGCTCTTTCTTTTAGCTTAGCCACCGAGATTGGTATCAATTTATTTCGGCTCGGCAACGTTTCGGCGCAATCGCCTTTTTCGGAGCCTTATTAGAAGCCGAGCGTTAGAAGGCACCCTTTATAGTCATGCCGAGATTAATGGAGAGTCGTTCATGGGCAATGCTCTTTGTTACTTCCAAACTGTACAAAAATTCACTGAACCTGGTGTATGACCCAGAGTTCGGAAAAAAATACTCAAGGAATCTTTTGAACTGCCCCTCTCTCGCTTTTATCCTTTACAAGTTGGTTAAGTCGGACGTTGACCCATCAATTATTGTGACTCAACTGAGGACGACTGCTGCCTTTTTAGCGTCTGATAGTATTTCTATTCGAATATGCTCTGTCCAAGCGCGTCCACTGGACGTATAGAAATAAATAAATAAATAAATAGCAGTGGAGTTCGTTGTCATGAGCCTGCAGTAAACGCCACGTCTGCAGGTTACAACTTCGAAAGCTGTCTCCCACGTTGCAGTCCTGGACTCAGAATTGAAATCCTTCTTTGTGCGCGTCCGAGCCAGTGATACTTCCGTGTATATTTATGTGAAGATCCCTTTACTTGTTACAGCTAACAAGGTTTTCGGAGCAAATGAGAGACAGGCGTAAATCAAAATACTCATGCAAAAATTCTCCCCCTCTGAAGGTGGTGGTCAGATCACGTAAAATTCTTCCGTCATAATTTCACGTCTTTTCGAGGCGATATTGAATGGTTGATGTGCTCTAATAACAATGGGAAAGTTTGTGAAAGGCAGTTCGAGGGTCTCACGACAAATAGGCTTCTTCCCACGTCGGTTCCATCGGCGCACTTCCGGAGCTTATAGAAGCGAGACTACTTGAACATACAGTTATTGAGATTGTTTCAGCTGCAACGCTGTGCTCTTAAGAGAGTATTGTCCACACACGATGTGCGTCCATGATGCGTTCAACTACTACACATATTTTCATGTTTCACATGCTAATTACATGACCGTTAATAAACAAATAAAATATGTTTTGCAATAAACGTTTCAAAGAGATTCACCAAAATTTCGTAAGACGAAGGAGTAAATGCCATGAACATTTCGCCAACTTATGGGATACTTTTACACCTCACCCTGGGAGTTGCGTTCCATGATCAAAAATTGAGGCAGGGTAGATGTCAGCCAGATCTTGCGATTGCGTCGCGCGAGGCAGTTGCTCTGATTAGAGCGATTTGGCATCGCTCCAAGTGCGAGCGGGAGATTTACCCGAGCGGCGTCGTGTGTATCGGTCGTCGGCGGGGTGAATCTCCCGTCGCTTTGGACTTTGGAGCGACGCCAATTGCTCTAGGCAGAGCGACTGCATCGCGCGATGCAATCGCAGAGTCTGACCGACATCTTAATGGTAGTGACCTTGTTTTTCGTTGGAAGTCTACGATTACAAGCTGAGACTATGGAAAAGGATGGCGTCGGAGGCATGAATTTGAAAATAGATTTTATTCCGAATTTAGATGCTGCAAAACTCCTACCTTGAATTCAGTTTTCCCTGGTCGCATGATGACGATGTTCAAGCTATTTCCAGATGCGTTATCTCCATGCATACCAGCTTGAAGGGCACGCTGCACAAGAGCAGTGCACTCCTCTTCCTGGAATAAAGAGGGTCGGGCAGATACGAAAATTTTTAAATGAAAACTTCATAGCAGTAAGAAAAATAAAGCAAGAACGCTGAATGCCTACCGACATGTCTTGCTTGAAATCTCTTTCCAGGATAGAAATAGCTGCGTAACTTCCAGAACCCTGAGCAGCGAACGGCTTAGCCATCGTTGTTCCATTAGCCGAGCATTCGTACAAATGTGGCCCCGTAGGATCGACTCCCCCTTAAACATATCTCAAAAGGAACCACAAAATGTTTACTTTTACTGTCAAAACCTCTCAAATTTGATAAAAAACACAAGCTCGAGACTCTGCTACTTTCTGACATAGTGCAGTAACCAAATGCTAACGGTTACCTATAAGCAGATACGCTCCTACGTAGCCTTGATAGTTGAACAGATGCTGTTTAGCATGACGGAGAGCAGTTATAACTCGAGCTTTTCTTCCTGTGTTAAGTTCCATGAGGCGCAATGTTCCCGACAGCATTTTGCACACCTAAATATTCATCGGATTGAATAAATAAATATTTATAGCAAGCCAATGTTACAAGTAGATTTGCAAAAAAAAAACGCCAGTCTCACCTGATCCAAATCTGCAGCTGTTCCAGCTCCACACGCATAAATCGAGTCCGTTAAATAGTGGACTTTTTTCACAGTGCTTGTCGGCGATAATATTACCGGCCGTCCGCACGGGAATCGGCTCCCATCACCAGCCCTCCCTGTAAAACTTTTCCTTCAGCAAAGTTTTAACAAGCGATCCGACATTTTCAAAAAGCCGGCTCACTTGGATCAAATCTGCAATAGCTTGTGTTCCAGTCTTCCGCAGATAATAATTTTGCGAGTCGTGCGTTGAGATTAGATGGACTGTTTACAGTGCTTTGTGGCTGATATTCCGGCCGTTTGTGTGTGGGGGGATTCGGCTCCTATACAAGCCTCCTGTAATTTCGTCAGGTATTGGATTTCGATCCAGGCAAACGGCTTAAATTTTTAAACATATATTTTCCCAAATATCTGCGTATAATGGAAGGATGTTTCACTCAATGTGGGCAAATTCGTTACATATTTTATTACGAATTTAAGGCAGGCACTGACTTACATCCACATGTGCTTTAAAACTAGCGCGCTTTTTTGATCGCAAAGGCCTGAAGACGCTCTCACACCTTGTGGGATGTATGGTTTCGCCCATCGTGCGATCAGGGGGCGAGGTGCCAGCAGCCCAAACGAGGGATGGGCGTCTCCCAAGTTCTGTGGTCTCCACTCTGTCTGATTGATCGACTTCGTGCTTAAGATAGGGAAGAGTCCAGAGCAGATATGAGCAAGATTGGTAGGGGACCCATCCCCGTTAGGGTGCTTAGCTGACACGCCCCTAGTTTGTTTACCCGTGGAGCCAAAGTAAGTTAATGGAAGTAAGTCCCTCGATTTTTAATCGTGTGTTCAGTTCTATCAATCGTTGCGCTCTTCTATCGCCTTAGCAGCAGTCGATGACCATGCCCTTTGTGTGTGTGTGTGGTTTGTGTTGTTGTTTTGTGTTGTGACTGCAGGTTGGATATCCAAGTGCCTGAAACTCTAGAAAGGGTGGAAGGAGGGGTCGATGACCATTTGACGACGTAATAGTCGGCACCGGACAGCGATGGAGCGATGGCGATCGCCCTTCGCTCTTGTTTGTCGTTGTTTGTGTGGTGGTGTGTGTGGCGGTCTTATCTTGGTTCGGCGCAAACCTTCTTTTGCAAAGAAAATGTTTATTCGATGCAGTAATGCAAAACACCTGGATAGCTCACGGGAACTAACCTTGTATGTAGCAGCAACGATTGTGGTACCCGTTGAGCGCACTCTCGGTGGAGGCGCTCCCATCCTCGCCAGTGCCATGTTACGAATACAATTCGAGAAATCGAATGCACCACCTTTGTCCAACTCCATACGGAGCACCTTCTGCTGTACTTCGGAACACGCCATCTGCAAAAGTACTATTGCAAGGCTAGAATTGCAGAAAACATATAAACGTCAGCAGGAAAAGCGAAATCTTAGAAAGACAGCTAAAGAGAGCGTCATGTCCCGGAACACAGCGAGAACAGCTTTCCTTTTATGAGCATATCGAAGGTCTTTCATGAGATGAAACCACGAAAACTGGTAGTAACGAAGGAGTGGTTGAAAAAAGTTTGAGTGTTCAAGAAATTGTCATGCAATGTCCAAAAAGATTGGAGCGCTCTGTTGTCACTGGAGCGCGCTTACCGACCACCGTCAGCACAATGCAACAGGAGCCAGGGCCGGCGCATCTTTGACGAGGCTCTAATTAGCAAACTTGGATTATCTTTTGTATGGCCCCATAGTTTCCCAACCAACGTGACTGATTTTCGCTCTTATGATTGTACCATCTTGCGGTTCGTTTTGTAGTTCGAGTGTGGAGTAAACACGTACATATCGAAAATGCGATTCTGCGCACAAAACGTAACGTATATACCACAAAAAGGACCCAAGAACTCAAACCGCGGCCTCAACACCCCCAGCAGAAGTCGTGTCGAACGGACTGTTCAGTGGGCGGGATGGAGTAGCAAATGTTGCCGCTACTCGAAAGTGCGTGACAGTAGCGTTAGGATCTTAATTCAGCATTCGGAGACTAATCTTAGCATTTACAATTAGACGAGTTACTAGCGCACACCTATGACACTCTATAGTCAGTCAAAAAAAAGCCGAGTCCTCTGAGACTGACGTCATAGTCAGCGACGGATTGCGCAATCGCTTGCAAAGTGCACAAGCGACGGGCAATGGCTCTGGCCGATCGATACCGCAGCCGACTGTACTGGCTGGGGGCGGGGCCAATCGCCTGTCGCTTGTGCACATTGCACGCGATCGCGCAATCGCTTGGTCCGTCGCCGACTATGACGTCGGTCTAAGGGTGCAGGATGGCGCGCGTTCTGCAGTGGAGGTCATACCCCCATCGACCTAGCAGGCAGGGTCAACCTTATGTTGCTACAAGTAGCAACGGGGGGTCGTATTTTGATGAGCTTGTAGAGGGGGGGGTCGTACTTGCTTCGGTTGTAAGAAGTTGCATGTGATGAGTGGCGAGCGGCGCGGGAGAAAATTTGCCGTTTCAGCGCGCGTAGATACCCTCCTCCCCTGGAAATTGGAGGAAAAAGTGGGCGGGGTTTTGGTGGAAGATGGAGATGGTGCAGGTAGGGAAAAGGGGGTCGTAAAATTTTTTCGAAAAGTAGCAACGATAGGACCGACCCTGCTAGCAGGGCCGTACCCGCACCGCTACCCGCCCACCGACTGGTTAACCCCTTCCGTTGCACTATGGCTTCAGCATGAAGAGGGCCAGGCTTGGGTCCTGATTAAGTCGGCACAAATAAGACGCTCCAACGCCGCAATAGGCCAAAAGTAGCCAAATTTCTTGGGTTGTGAGCAATTTTCTCAGTTTTTCTTCATCCCTGCATTACTGACCCCCTCATTTTGATTTCTAGTGGGCTGCCTTTTCATCGCAAACTCCAACGTAAAAGGAAACATCAAAGGTTTCTCGAATAGTCATCTCACGTTCCTGCAAAGGGAGGTGTGGTTCGCAAGGACAGAGAGCGGCGTGTACCTTTTCGCAAACGAAGCTTTTGTCGCTGACAATGAGGATCCCCAGGTCCACCATTGATGAGGGGTGGAACCGGGGTTCCTGCCGCGTAAAAGCTTCGCGTGCAAAAGCGAAGCGGAGAAGTCTTTCTCTTCTCAACCACACCACTACAATATGTAGCATTCCGTGCGTTACTGTTTTATGAAGGCTTCGAAATTAAAGGCAGGGACCTCAAAGGGGCTTAGAGGGGACGTGAGGGTCTCAATAGTACGCCAATGGCGAAAAAAGCAAAGAAATCCGTCAAAAATAAGCAAAATAGTACCCCTTTGATTGCCCTCTTATTTTCGACCGTGTATGAGCGACGGTAAGGAACGACGTTGTTCGGACGTGTTAAGCCCAGTAGCCGTCATCATGCCAACAAGTGTTCTGATGGCGCTATCTTAGTTGAGGGGGGGGGGGCGACGCGGTGGCGCGGTGCTTTGTTCGTCTCCTCCTGCAAGGCTTAGTCCTCGATGGCGCGTATTTCGAAGCTGCCACGTATTGGCGAAATAGTAACTGTCCCTGAAACTAAGCCTTCGGAGGAGCAGACAGAGCACCGCGCCGCCGCGTGGCCCCCTCAACTAAGATAGCACCATTTTGATTGATAAGGCAATACGTAGGCAGGTTGGAAGATACAGCCGCTAGAACAGAGATGATCATCCAAAACGAAAAGCCAACAGCATACAGCCCAGCCAGATCACTAACAACAATAGTGGGCGTCACGTCACTGGGGCGGGGAGTCACGCGGGTCCTGCTCAGCAACCACAGCACCTCTCGCCGTGAGAGGACCACACATCGCTTTCTTGGCAGCCAAGTAATTGCTCCGTGTGGCGCAGGTTCTCGCAAACTATATAGCATGACGCCTCATAAAACCAGCTTGTGCAGTCACGGTTCAAACACCCTTGATGGTTTTTGTTTGTTGTTTGTTTGCTTCATCTGTTCCTACACCATTTGTGGAGTCCTCATACAGAGAAATTGATATTTACACCACTCCTTCTTTGTGGTATCTCAGTTGGTAAGGGGGGGACGCGCGGCAGCGCGGCGCTCTGTTTATCTGCCCCTCCAAGGCTTAGTTCCAGGGGCAGTTAACTAAGAGTAAAGAAACTGTGCCGTTGGAAACCATAAATTGAAAGGGATCTCTTCTTCCTCTAGCCTGGCGAACCCCCGACTAATTGAGCCAGCTCAATCGCTATGAAATGTCGAACTTTTCAGGTTCTATAAAAGCAACAATCTTCATACGTACTTGCAACAGGGTTCGCAGTGATGAATCAATTACAGGTGCTACGAATATATTTACAAGGTTCATTTATGACTAAACACTAGTGAAGTATAACGAGCGGATAATGAGTAATAAATTTGTACACAACTAGGATTGACAATTACTAAACAAAACCAAGCACACAACTGAGTATCTGTAGGCGCATGCAGAATACGGAAAAGCTCAGATATAAGCATTAAGAATACATTTACAGCGTTCAAATCACAATATCATTTGAGAAAATTCCAGAGAAAAATGTTCAAATTGTCAAGATAGAAGAACAACTCATTAATTCAATAAATCATAAGCGGGTACGGAATCGGACATACCTTTTAGTAGAACTTTAGTTAAGTGAAATCATTCTATGAAAAAGCATTGTTAGATTATTGTGAGAATTGGTCGACTCAGACAAAGGGAACTTCTTCTTATACGGTACGAGGACGCACGTTGGAAAAACTGAAAACCCGTACTCATTCATGTATTTCAAAAATCGGTCACACTTTTCCTCACCTTTGCGGCCGCCTTTTTCTTCTTGCCTCCCGGTTTCACAGCATTTCTCACTCCCGTGTGCGACACTGTATGCTCCTACTTCCAACGCGTAGGCGCAACGCATAGCCGGGTGAAGCATCCTGAGGATGAGTTGTCAATTAGTAGTGACCACTTTGTTCACTAGGAGTTACTCGAAAACTAACGAGTTCCGTTTCTGAAGTTCCGCTTAGCCTGGAGTGATCCGTATCCAGCTTGAAATCGCGTCTCTCGTCACTCTGTTTGCCAGGAAACAGCCTGAAGTTACAAAGTTATTTTAAGTGAGAATGATGATTAACGCAAGGTGATCCGATGAAGTGGGTATTTAGAAGGGGAAAATTCCTTTCCGTAAATGGGCCGTATCCTAAGAACTAAAAAGGATAGCACTTGCGATGAAGTGCGCTGAAGGCTGAATGTATAACGCGTGCAGTGCTAGCCCCTACCATCATCTTCGTTCTTTTTCTTCATTGTGAATGAATATTTCACGCATTTGCTATTTTGCAGTTGAGACGCTTATCAAATCATGTTCACCGGAATGGCTCATGGGGATAAAGTGTACGAGCGATCTCTGCATCGGTTACCAGCCCGCGTGAAGTGGAAACCAAGGGATGACCAAGGGATTAGGACACCATCTTAGGTCTTCTCCGTGGTCTGGCCTTCGTCTTGCACAACCTACTCCTCACTTTCATTTCCAACACGTGAACAGCTTATCGGTTCATCTTCCAAACACCGTATTTGATACACAGAACACTGACACACCAGCTGTAAATTTAGCACACAAACGAATGTACACCAACTGGAAACTTACCAAAATGATGTTCGTTCAGCGAGCCTTTCGAATTTGATTTCTTCAGAGAGGAGATACTACCAAAAGAACTAGAAATTGGCAAACTTAGATTGCTACGGTGCTTCGCCAGATCAGCCTTTGAAGGAGGACTTGGGACGGGGTGGTTCTTGCACGCAGGGTTTGGATGCGGCGTTCCCTCCATTTCATCTGAAACAACTCAGTACCATGTAAAAAAATTTCTCTAAGAGGCATTATCGCTAACAAGATCTCTATTTATTATTATTTTTTTTACTCCGCACTCGTAGATGCAACACAATAATCGTCAGAAAACGAATCAGTTATAAATCAGAACACTGACTCAAATAAATCAAATAAGCAATATTAACAAATTAAAAATAGTGCACAGAAAAACTAGGCAATGAAAAACAAATAAAAATTAAGACGCAAAATAAAAGATATAATTAAAAGATTAAACAAAATGTTACTTCTGTTAGGTAGGGCTAGACTGAAATGTCGTTTTTCGATCATCAATTACTTTCATTATAGTAAACTGTAACGAACGCACATAAAATTGAACATCTCCTTCACCTGTGTCACAGCTCTTCACTTTTCGTTAGGTAAAGCGTGAATGCTGCCACGTAGAACTTCTTCGGGTTCGACTCGAAAAGTTGGGCACTCGAATTTGACGTCGTGCGCTTATCGAATTGGTTTACTGCTAAGAGTGTTGTGCTGACCTGGGTCAGTGATAGGCCGATGTCAGACTTTGCGAATCGCGCGATTCGCTAGCGTCTGCGGTCGCGTTCGCAGCAAGTGAATCACTCAATTGGGTGGTACCGTAACGCGACCGCGGACGCTAGCGAAACGTGCGCTTCCCAAAGTCTGACATCGCCATAGTGGACGGCGTTCATGACCTGGGCTATACGGCGGCTGGAGGTAGGACGTCCAGCCCAACTCCTCGATTTCTTGTTGTCGTTATTTTCACCGAGAAGTGAGGTGTCGTCCGTTATGGTGCAGTAGTTTTACAGTTGGGCCGAATTTCACCACTTGACGAACGCAGAGCTCAGTCCACATGGTGGGCTGTTGGGCGCGCGCTTCAGCTGTAACTGTTGACCCAAAATCAGCTCTGATAGTAGGTCAGTCTTATACTGTTTCTACACACTGTAGCTCGGCTTTTCTCAGTGGATGTCTCGTTTCAAATGTCACCTTCAAGGCTGATCCATCAGCATCAACCACGGTCACCGTCATCTTCTTGCGTTGTTATTGGAAACATCTCTTCGTAAAATGCGGTCAACACGAAGTCAAGAACTTTTTCCTCTTGCAAGTTATGAGCGAAGTCCCCAGTACTGGCTACAGTACTGCTTGCTCGCGTCGCACAGAAAAAGGCGAACCCATTTTCTATTGCTGAACAGCTCAACAGTCACGACGTAGGAACTTTTAAATTTTTCTTTTGACAACAACTGAATCTGCCACGCAAGTTTTGTTGTCAGTTTGACGAGGACTCAATTCGTTGATTCGTTATTTCTGCGTCATCGGAGCTAGAGATCAAAATCTTACGATCTTTTCGTCGCCAGTGAAGAATGGTTTTCCATCCTAGGAGATTGTCTTTAGCTGAGAGAACAAAGGCATAAACGCGAAGCGACATATCAAATCGTGCCAACCTAGACTCACATACAACGAGGGGCGTCCACTTCGCACCTGTCGATCATTTGTGACGCGGTCGTGCGTCCCACACTAAGTCTCCCTTTTCTCGCGCTTGTGCGATTTCTCCCCAAGTGCTCCCCCGACTGTTTGTCATTCTTTCTTGGGATTATGTCATAAAACTGCAAAACCTACACGAATAGCAAAATATCGCATTTCTTGACACAATCCGCGCCAAAAATACTTTTGATATCTCTCAAGACAGAACAAGTGTGAATTCGCTTTTTCATAACCACCTCATCAGTGCTTATCGCGAAATCCCACGACTAAGTTCAACTAATTGAGCAATGCTAAAATGGTTTCGTGCCATTCACGTTCTGCATAGTTATCACTCAAAATTACGGGTGTGAGATAGAGGCGGCCGCGCTAGCAAAATGCTCCTGTCCCACATGGCCGAAAAGCGGAAACGCGTCCTATCGTCAACGCTATAAACAAAAGCACCCATTGCACAACAGGTGACCCCACGGACCTCAAACATTCTCACGTGCCAACCGCGAGATCGATGACCAGTGAAAACTTATCCCTGCTATACATAATGCGTTATGTCTGTCTGTTGTCTTTTGTCACGGCTGTCTGGCACGAAATTCCCTATTTATGGAATTCATCTAGAGAGGCAGCCGTCAGAGGTTGGGATGGGTGTACCATATCTCGAAGAGGTGCCAAGACATACGTCAGCCAAGCGGAGCCCGCCCACAATGAACGTGGCGTGCGTTGAAATGAGTGTTAATGATGGCCATGATTTAAGTTCGATGACAAAACAGCCTCGAGAGTGGGGAAAAAGTGGGTAAAGATGCGCATTGGTAAGCCAGAACGAATTAGGGAGACCACCTTCTGTAGGCGGGGGCTCTTCTAAAAAAGCGGTGCTTAATAAAAAAAATCATAACTCGGTTACTATAAAGCCTACAAACAGAAAAAGATTGATGTAGAGAGATCTAAGGTTTTTTCAGCATACATGGACATGAGCGGAGCCCAACCACACGGGCGGAAGCTGCCCTGATTGGACACGTTTGCTACTAGTCTTCGAAATTCGGTTCGAGAATTCGTAGAGTGGGAAGGCTTGGGTAAGTCAGGAAAAGCAGGGGAGATTGAAAGTCAGCGATTTACGATAGGTTCAAGGAGGGCTCGGGAGGACGCGTTCAATAGTATGCCGGGGGCGAAAAAAGCGGCGAGAACCGTCAAAAGATTCGCAAATTGGACCGCTTTTTAGGTCGTTGGTTTTCACGCATCAACAGATGATAGGCTTAGAAAGTCAATCAGAGTAACACCAGTTTTGCCGCTGCTGCCAACGCTGCTCTTCTAAATCACCAACCTTAACCTAACGGCGGATCGCTTGGGGGGGGCGGAGTGCTTTCGAAGTCTGCTCAACACCAGCGAACCTTCCGTCGTGAAAGCGCTACACTCGCTTTTATGGGTAGCCAAGTAATTGATTCGTGTCTGCATGTGCTCTTCGATGCACTTGCACGTTATCGTAATCGCTGCTTTAAATATCTATGGGGGGGTACGTGCGCAGGGCGGAGTTTAGCTACCAACTTATAACTCAGCTCAAGAAGTCTCAGAGACTGGGAAAAAAAGTGAATAGATGTCGGCAAAGGAAATGAGGTCAACTGGGGTGTTTTTGGAGGAGCAGTTACAACGTAGTCGAGATTGGTGCTAATCGGCTCCAAGAAGTCACGGAAACCTGGAAAAAGAGGTAGAGGGTTGGTGAGCGACAGGAGATTATATGTTCAACGGTCCGGACACATCACAATAAAGTGGGCGGGGTTTATTGCCAACCCTATAACTCAGTTCTTAGATGTCCCGGAGACAGGAAAAAGGAGGTGGATGTCAGCGAAGGAAATGTGGCCAGGTGCCAATTGATGGAGAGTATGCACCAAAGTGGGCTAGTTTGCCGCCAAACTTACGACTCAGCTCAGCAACAGTTTGCAGACTGGGGGAAAATTGACGAGAGGTCCGCGAAGGAAGGGAGGCCAACTACTATAATGGGAAAGGCGTACACCATGTGGGCGTAATCTGCCTAACTTAGATTTCGGCTCCGAGACTACCGAATACCGAGAAAAAAGTGGATAGAGCCATGACTGATGATGGCTACGGCATATGCGACGTGCGTCAAAACACAAGGAGAACAAAAGTCACCCTGGACCTAGACAGTCAGCACTTGGATGAAGACTAAGGAGCAAGTACAAGGGGATTAGCACTAATCGTAAGCTAGCGGGCACTCCGTGCGGTACTTTTCGTGTGTTTTCCCAAGCCTGCCTTTTGTACTATACGGCAACTAAAGAGACTATGAAGGTTATTCACTGGGGTGTTTATGTTCTAACCTAGGCAATAAACACATTCTGCCAAAAGTGAATTGCGCAGGAATAGCTGAGTGCTAACGAGAGTCGATGAAATGGATAGCAGATATTAGGGGAAAAACTTATATTATTTTCAATAACCAACCCAATTTTGATCAGTAGTAGACATCTGACACACAGATGGCTCTTCTTCGTTTAGCAAAAAGACCGTGTTAGCTGTAAAGGACGATTGTGAATGTGAGAAAGTAACTATTAGTCTATAACAAAAGGGCAAATATTATTCACCAGCAGGTGACGGCAACCGTTCCACCGCCCTTCGCAAGGTGCCTTTAGACGCTGAAGCGTTCTGAAAGCAAAAAGCATTGAAAACAATTCGTTCCAAAAACGGCTCTCAAAGATCTGAATCGAAAATGTCGTAATAGTGGAGAATTGCAGGGAATCTGCATAGCTACCCCAGCAGCAAGGATATATTCACCAACGATAAGTGGCTATGACCTGAATTCCATAATGCAGAATCGTAAAATATCTCACCGGAAAACGCATTTTAATCAATTCTTTGTCGGCTTTAATGCTGGACAATTCGATGCATTTGTAGAACTGCGCATTCTCTTCCTTCAACTGCGCGACTTGCATCTCGAGCTCGCTATTCCTCAGGTTGTATAAACACATATCTTCCTGAAAATTGGTCTAGAAAGGGAAGTCATTCTGCTCCACAACACAAACTTACATCAAGTTTCTCGAACTTCATGCAAAGATTCTGAATTTGCTTGGTTCTCAGCCCGTCTTTCTCCCGAAGTGCTTCACATTCAGCTCTATACCGCTCCTGAAAAGGGCACTGCATAAGTTTCAGAGAAAAAGAATCTTCAAAACTAAAAAGCAGTTCTACTCGAACCCATCAAATGATCACCTCATTCTCACGCGCCTCATCCAATTTTAATTCCATATCGTGTTCGACTTGATTTATTTTCTCAGCTTGTTCGCAGTTCCTAGTAGCTAAGCCTTCCAACTGGAAAAGAGAGAAATCTAACCAATCCAAAAACGTCATACAATTTGTTTGGCGTCCAATTTTTTCGCCGCAGTTGACGTTAACCAGAGGTCACAAAGATGTTGGGTAATGGGGACAAATTCCTCAAGCAAATTCAAACCCTCACACTAATTGCAAGTATTTCTTTTGAAGTGCGGTTTTGACATTCGCATGAAGCAGCCAATTTATCATACTTAGACCACATTATATCCCACGAAGAAAATTCAATCTCACTTCTCTTCTACTGGAAATATGAGCGAACCATTGTGTAAGCGAACACTATGTGGAAGTCGACCTTCGTTCATTTACCAACAAGCCGTGCTTCATTACCATACGCTTGGGAAGTCTAGTAACGCTCTCAAATCACGTACTGCGAAAAGACTTATGGAAATAATGTGCGCACTTAGAATTCAAGGCATGAGAGCTACTACCAGCGCCTAATTCGAAGGATAACTCCAAGGGTTCAAGCGTTTTCAAGTCCATTTCTATTCTGTCACATGGACATCAAATCTATTGTAGCTACTCGTCACTGGAAAGGTAAGAAAATGAGCAGCGTATTGAAATTCAAAATGCTATGGAATATTCCGAAGCTACACCTAAAGTTGGCTGCACCTGCGCGCTGTTGCAAAGGCTTATTGTCGGTTTTTATCCGATCAGAATAGGGCGAAGGGGTTATTTCCTTGTCCCCGTCAAAACATGAGCTCAACAGACAATATTGGCCCCGACCTACCATTAAGATTGTCATTATCATATAAACTATATGGCGGACAAACTGCAAATAAAAATTGGCAGCATCCCTCCAACAAGGATCCCATTCGATGTCGATCCATAGCTTACTGTTTTCAACACATGGGTCGTGCGCAGATGGAAAACGCGCATATAGAATAAAAAAAAGACTTAAAAGCATGTATCCGTTTTGTAGAAGACCAGAACAACGTTATATCTTAAATAACAGAATTAATCGCTCACCTTATGCATCAGATCCTCGGCTGTGGTTTTTATTAAGGAAGCCTGTTCAATGTTCCGTTTCCGCTCGTCAGCGAGGTGTTTCTGCGTCTCTTCAAGTTCTTGGGCGACTTTGCTGTGCACATCTGACAAAGCCATTAAATTTTGTAGCTGCATCTGCATCCCAAAAATTTCGTCATCTTTCGCATCGATGATTGCTTGCAAACGAGCGCAATCGCCTTGAAGGTTTTCCACAAATCGAGTATCATTGATGTGTTGAGATTCCATCGTCTTGACTTGCGCATTCAGTTTATCTATATCTATCCCGCATTCGCACAACTGACTGTCTTTCTCATCTAAAGACGTTCGCAAGGCAGACCGCTCATTTGCAACTGCGTCCCTTTCCGCGGCTATAGCTGTCAACTCCTTCCGCTGCTGCAAAATGAGGCGGTTGCATTCCGTCAAGCTAGATTCGAGCTGCAAAATGAAAGTTATAGCGACTGTCATGATTTTGAACGTGCAAATGGAACCAACCTCATCAATTCTTGTACGACAGGAGCGAATCGCTAAGTCGCGTTGGGAAGTGTCGGCCAAATGGGCACTTTCCAGCTGCTGTACAGTTGCTTTGTGCTCGCTGGCAAAACGCTTGTGTTGCTCTTCTCTAGCCGCGAGTTCTGCTTCCACTTCGGCAAGTCTCGTCGAAATCTGAATTTTTTGCGAAAATTATAGCAGCTACGCAGACTTCTTCCAAACTCCCTTTCTGCCAGCACAATTCCTGCAGCCTAATTGATCGCTGGTCTTTTTTCTTTCGAATTAGCATTGATTCATTTGAAGCCGAACGCAACTCTGGCTACCTTGTTATAATTCTTCTTGTGAGTTTGATCCCTTTCTTCGATGGTGTTTTCGAATGAGCGTTTGCTGTCGTCATATTGCTTTTGAAGCTTTTCATATTCCTCAGACAGCTCTCGAAGCTTCCTCTGAAGTGCTGCATTCTTTTCCATCTCGGAGGAGTACAGAGCCATCTTGTCAGATGTCTGAAAGCAACCGCTATTCCTGGAGTACCTCATACTAACGAAAGATATACCAAAAAAGCCAGTGCATTGTATGCCGCATAGTGGAATGTTGAGTACTATTTTCTACCAACGTGAAAACTTGATATGCAATATAATACGACCAAATCGGTCCCCCGTAAACCGCCGGCACATTCCTTTCTTGCGTAAGAATTACGTCTTCCGCTGTGGTCCCTTCTACCTGTCACACCAGCACCTCGTGGATATGACAAAAAGGAGTTTCATATATGTAGGAGAGGGCATCGCCACGACAATGGATTTTACTCCTTCCCTTCCCATCTAAATTCCTCCCTTCAGTACCCTCCAGCTGCAACTGCAGCACCATGTAGAATGTATGGAAGTGGCTCAGCAGGTGTACATAAAGCCGTAGGAGTGTTATCACAACTATCCTATTAAAAAACACTGATGCTCAAGTCCTGCGATTCTGTTAGCAGTTGCTTGTTCCATGAGCCTCCTAATCACTTCAATCTATGGACGAACAGACATACAGGGGGCCAAAAAAAGAGTCACTTCCCTCCACATTCAAAACGGATTCAAATACACGCTGCAAAGCCAAACCAAATAAGTTCAACTGTATATTGAAGAACGCAGTCCAATATATCGAAAAAGTCACATAATAGCCTTGTACACCGACGACAGAAGGTTCTCCCAGGGAAGCATAGTTCACAGTACGAGCTCAGCGAAGTCGCCGAGGTACCATAGGCGACGTCCCTGAAACGCTGGTCAAAAGCGGCCTTGCACAGTCACAGCTAGTGTTTCTTAGAAGCTATTCACCAGTCAATCGGTTGAAGAAATTACGTCGCAGCTTCAGGCAGGAGTGATTGTGGTTAGCCTCGTTGAGCTCGACGGTGACGGCAGATGAAGGCACCGTCTTCAGAATATGACGTCATCTGTGGGGGGGGGGGTAGTGAAGGGGGTCTGCTTCTTTTTTTGAGGGGACACCTAGAATATTCTGCCGTAAAACATTCATCGATAACGGCGTCTGTGCGACGAATAATTTGATGATGTGCGTCATGGGCAAAATGACTTTTTTTGGTGGATATACAGAGAGACCCAGTATATACAGAGATACACACAAACCGACAATCCAAGTTAGCGGTTTATAAAAAAGGAGGATGCTTGTCAGTAGGCAGTGAATTGTGAGACGCAGGTCAATGGAATGAGATCCCGAACAACACAAAAACTGCAAGTGAGCTGATCATCAAAACGCTCGTAGAATCCAGTGAAAAGGCGCAGCATCCGCAAATATTGTAAAGAGTTGAGGCAAAATTCAGCGATCAAGTTTCCCGATCAGGGAAGATAGGAACCGTTAGGAATGTTGACCATACGCAAACGAACGGCTCGAAGCGAGCGGAAAATTGCTTGATATTGGTGTAGAGTCAGTGTTTTTATAGTCCTAGACAAGTCTGGTACAATCAACCGACCCCGGAGGGATGGAAGGCTTAGTTGGCCCGGGCGGAGCACGACCCAGGATTTGATCCCCGGACTGCTCGCGTGGTAAGCGTGCAGTTGCCACTAAACCACTTCCGTTCAACGAAACTTCGATAGAATGAAGAAACTGGCTCAAGTGAGGAACCGAATGAGCTAAGAATACGATCACCCCAAGGAATCGTGTTTCCTGAGTGACTGTAAGAAGTCAAATCATTTCACCTCCGTTTCGCATCGCCTCCTCCATTCTGATATAGATGATTGATATTGTTCCCTTTCCGCTTCTGCAGCGCGTTTAGTCTCCTCCAACGTGGCCGCCAGTTTATCACGCTCGGTTTCCAAGGCATGGACGGTCTGTACGAAACACATTGTGGACGAAATACAGTCAAAATTAAATATTACCAAAAATAAATTTACCTGCGCAGTTCCACAGAGCTCGTCATTCAAATCACGCAAATTTCTTTCTAAAGAAGCGAAAGCCACTTCTTTTGCTTTCAATTTTTCGGTTAGTTGAGCCTCCTTCTCTTCCCATTTTTCTGAGCTCGACTTGTACTGTGCAATCTGAACAGAAACCAAGAATTATCTCTACTCTCGGTAAAAAAGCTGCCATTACAAACCCTGTGCTTTTGACTTTCACACTGACGCAGGAGGACCTCCTTTTCGTCTTTTATCAGTTTCAGTTTATCTTCCAGTTCTTCACGAGCCCTCTGTACCAGTTTCAGTTCTCCTTCTAATTCACGGATGCGTGCCTTCTTTTCCGACAACCTAATATCATCCAACATTTTCATAATGAAATGTTGAAAGAAATGAGAAAATGAACGGCGAAGAAACGACGTACTCTGCGACAAGAGACTCAACTTGGCATTTGTAATTGCTGGCCCGTGATTCTGAGAGCACTAGCTGGTCCTCTACTTCATCTAACTGCTTTTTGAGCGCCTTAAGATCCCGCTTACAACGCAACTCCCTAAATAAGCTACTTTCATTACTGCTCTAGGCTCTCCAATTAGAAAGAAGAACGACAAACAAGTTCAGTTTCGCCGAGCAATGTACATATAGTAATTCAACTGCTGTGTCATACCTCACTTTTGGAGAATTAACCGCTTCCATAAGTGGGCTACTATCACATCGTGCAACAGTATAAGCTCCAGTATTGTTCCGTCGGCGCCCATCAGGTAGTCTATTTGGACCGCATGGGGTAGCGAATGCAGATCGATTCACTGAAAGCCAACGTGTAGTGGTTTTCAAGAGAATAGTCTAACTGAAACTGAAGTTTACCTGACATTCCAGAGAACTCCTCCACAGGTAAACTAGGGCGATGCGGCGTAACGAAATATGAGTTGTCACCTCCATCTGCCACATCAAAATCGGAGCGGCTAATCATAACCGACCACCAGTCAGTTTGCTCTTCATCAAATGCAGCAAACTGTGAAATGAGGAGTTATACACAGACGGAGTGATAAAAAGTAATCATTCAAAGGAAGCAGTCACGCTGGCTTCCACGCTGGATTTGCTACCCTCGCGTTATCAACCGATAAGGTGTGAGGCAGTAATTGTTGGACGAGTGTAAGCCCATGGAAGATATGATACCATGAGATAAGAAGGTGCGGCTGCTTGATAAGAGGTGCACTCCAGAATGAAAACGGGACGATAACGATAACGGTATCATATCTAGCACGCTCTTATCGCACCCCTTTCCACATCGATGAGTCTTGGGTTTTGCTGACTTGAGTGAATTTCGGCTCTATCACTTCATTGATTAGGGGCCACTGCCACTGAACTTTACGTGTTCTAACATTGGGCAGGACTCCATCCACTCCAATACATAGCTTTCCTCATCGTTGCCATGAAAATTATCATGACTGCTTCCCTTCAAGCCACCAACAGCTTTCAAGAACTTCGTACACGCTCTAACGTGATGACCAAACTACGATCAGGCGAAGGAATAATGCCTACAACCCCGTTTTCCAAACTCAGACTAATCCCCACCACTCCGTTGCAGGTTTCACGCATATCGCGTGAGTCGCACAAATCGCGAAAATCAGCGAAACCTGCGACGGATCTTGGTCTCCGACACCAGCCCATCCCTTGTCGATAGCCATGACGGATAGGATCCTTTCGTGAGTAACAATTACTGGTTTACGCGGGAAGAGTTGTGGTAAAATTAGGCTCAGGGCCGTACGCGGCAATGAGTTCAGGATATCTATACTCTTTTATTTTTTGTTGGTCTTGATTTCATTTGAAGCGACGTAAGTTACCATGTCTGCCAGGATTGCTCCCCTTTCCTGATCGCTAGGGCGAAGAACAGCGCGTACCTTGCCCCCGCAAGGCAAAGAACAAAAGAGTACAGAAAAAAGGCACGACTTAGCACCATCACAATAAAGTAAAACGATAGCTGATCAACTAACAATTTCTCGTAAAGGCTCATCTTGTCCTTCTCTCTCCATAACAGCAACACTATCTTTGACGACATCTGGATTCGATATGCGTAATTCGTTTAATAATACAGCAAGAAACTGAAATTATTCGATCAGCTACATACAGCCCGCAATCACGTTTTTCCATCGATTTCACTCGTTCCCTAGAGCTTACCTTAGCGATTTGAAATCCATTTCCATTCGCTGCCTCTTCTACAGACAGCGTCTCCACAAAATTACATTGGTCGTTTGTATTCAGCAGGTGAGCATATAAGGCCCGGTAAGTCATGGTAGCGTTAGAAGACTCCACCTTCTTGTTTTCATTTGTTCGCCTATAAGAAGCATCAGAAGGTTCGCCATACATGGATACTTCGTGGGATATAGTCAACTTCTACTCAGTCTCATGGGTGCATTGAAGTATTTAACTGCAGTGAATTGTAATATGTAACTCTTTCTTGAGGCCAGTGCTTCTCGGAAAAAAGCACATCACCGATAGATCGATGAAGGGAAGGGATAGCAGCTTGAATTGAAACAGAAGCCGGCGCAATGTGGCTCGGAGGGGGCCAGTCGCCGCGCGCGGCTCAGCGATGTAGTGTAACTCGAATTCCAGCTTCTCACGGAACATTCCAGCTTCTTACGCATGCTAAGAGACTGCCCCACCCCACCCCCTGAATTGGTTACATTCCCCTGGCTCACGAATTCCCTGTTGCCGCAACGCTGCGCGCGGCGACTGGCCCCCTCCGAGCCACATTGCGCGACCAGTATGCTTCTTCAGACCGTATGTTCTTCAGAGATAAGACTGTAAATTTTGGTTGCAACAACAGAACCAACAAGAGTGGAGGGATCTCACTCTTTCAGTATGAGGGTGATCGAAAGCAATTTGTAAGATTAACCTAATTAAATATTGACGGAAGTGGGAATAGTCGTAAAAAACATCGAGAAGGCTGAGCAGGAAAAGGAGTTCGAGGATACTTACAGGTAATTCAGAAGTGATGGAACGTGGACTGTCCATAAGTTCACCAAAGACTCAGCAACCTTCAGGTTAATCGATTGTCCATATGTATTGAACTAGAAAATGATATATTTTCTGATAATATCAACTGAAGCAACACAAGTGGCCGCAACCTACCCAAAATAGGAGTGACTTTTCCTTGCTGCTGTCTAATTGCATCATAAACTGTTCCCGAAACTGCAGAGAAGAATCTTAAAAATCTAAAATTGTGGAAAAATAAGAGAGGAGGGAGAAGAACATGTAACATTTGGAAGAACGAATATTGAAAATGAAAAACTCCTCGAGAAGATGGGGGAGGATGGCGACAGAAAAAGGCAAGGAAAAGGATTTCGAACTCACCAGGAAGATCTCTCAGGGCGTGCCAAGCTTTTTGAAAACGGTCTTTTGCATGATATAGGGGCGCTAGCGGGAACCGCAGAACCATGGTTCATTTTTCCTGAACGGCCCTCTGAACGCCAGAAAAAGGTATCCCTAGTTCGATTCCTCGTGATGAAAAATCTTTGCATTTCGAGTTGACGTCCCAAAATTCGCGCAAAATGGAGTGAGCATGAATAAGTAGTACCACATTCATGATTAGGACCGTCAGTAACCCTTACAAATAGCCTTTGATTAAAAAACTGGTGAAAAAGGTGTGACACCACAGTGGGGCTGCTTGGTATTGAAAAATGTATAGAGCGACTTCAGATTTATGACTAGATACATTATTATTAGCGAAGTGAAGTTCGTCTGAGCATTGCCATAACATTTACCAAAATTTACTACCCGCCTTGGGTGGTCGGAGGAACTTTCAAAAAACAGGCATTGCCGCCCTGATGACTGACTTGGGACGGCTATCACTTTTTCCCTGCGTCTGCTCTGCAGAAATAGACAGCAGACGAAAGAGTATGCGCCGCTGTATGCGAAAGTCGACAGAAAGTACTAGTTATCTTGCTGTGTTGCATAGGGCGCACACTTGTTAGCAGGGCGCGTTTACTAAACTTTGTCGTTTCTTGTTCTGTTGGAAAATGTAATGTTTGCTTTTTCTCTTGAGTTCCACGTTTCTGTTTTGCAGTGATGTTACGACATCTCAGAGCGCCGCGGTTTTCATCCCTGTCTCGCCGTTATTTCTCTTCAATCCCTTCAACGTCCAAAACGGAAAGCAACGAGTTGAACAAAACTATTTCTGATGGCGTCGCTCACGTAACATCCGTCAACGTATTGACAAACGAAAGGTCTATAGTGCAGCTTGAACTGTCGCGAGATTTGTCCAGAAAGTTCAGGTATGATTTTCTTGAAAGATAATTAATTTTCCTAGAATTGATAGAACCGTCCTCTTTTTATCCTAAGCAGCCCATCTTCACAATCTTTAGAGTGAGTTTCAATGCCTGTTGCTAGCGTTTTCCCCTAAATCGAACCGGTGCACCACGCAAAAAGTGTAGTAGCTTTTTCTCTCATACGGGTACTCCTGAGGTTGCGAAAAACCTAGGTATACATGAGTGCGAGTGATTCATTGATCATCGAAGGGATCTATTCCAAATAGGGATCATCGAAGGGGTTTATTCCAGTTGAGAGGGGGCATCATGATGCTGTTTTTCCACAAAGCTACTGTTACTCCGGGCCACGGGGAGTGTAGCAAGTCTACGGGGGTGGGGGATCAGGGCACTCACTTGACATGCGTGAAAAGCTGGAATGTTCGAGTCCACACTGGTTCGCCGAGAAACTACATCACGATGTCCCTCTCACTGGAGTAGACCCCATTCAAGAACTGAAAGGCATTGAAACTTACATGCCAGTTTACATGCAACCAGTCTGCCGTCCCACGTTCTAACTTCCACTGCCTCTCAGGAATTCATTCGCTAGACAGAAAAGCTTCTTCTTGCAGTTGGTGTGAGCTCTTTAATTTTTCAGATGTTTCGTGTGGTCCGCTGGGCAGGGCGCAGGCATAGTATGTCGTCCGACAGCAACGATCCTCACTGTCGCACAGCATTAGATGTATACCGATCGCAAGACTTGTCTGAGTATTCGATGATCGATATGTATCTAACGCTGTGCGGCCGTTACTCGTTGCTGTCGTACGGCCGAGTATGCATGCGCCCACAGAATACGATTTTTTCGCTTTTCTAGCGCGAAACTTTTGTTGGAGTAACCTCGGGTCCAGTCTCGATTAGGGTTGGACTTGGGGTTCCCATAAGGAAAAAAGCTTGGCGCCTCGAAAAGTGAAAAGGTCACTGCAAGCGAACCACACCCTATGGCACCAAGCCTTAGCCTAGGAACAAGTGGGTAAACTATGACAGTGTGTTTTGTAATTCCGCTCGATTTCCCCACTTTTAGCATTTCAAGCCCATTTCCTAAGGCTGCTTTCATAGTCTGCGGTCCGTGCCGTCCGTGCCGTCCGCGCCGCCCGCGCGGACGGCTCGGACAGGGTGAAAAACGTCAACACGCGCTCCGGCGCATAATGCGCACTTGGCGCGCAGTCGGCGCCTGTCTCGATCGATAATGCTGATTTCGAAACATTTTTTCTGTATTTTGACGTTTTGTGCGCCGTTTTGCTTTTTCTTGCGGTTACTTAGCCCAAAACTTTTCCTTTTTTGTATGGATTACTGCTTTTGCTCACTAATGAACCCACTTGGTGTTTATTGCTACTTTAAACACAGTGTATGAAACTAACCATTCTAGGACAGTTGAAAAGCAGTGATTCACACAAAAAGGAAAAGGTTCTCGCGAAAAAATCGAGAAGCAACACGGCACAAGGAGCACCAGGAACACAAATAGAATGTGATGAAATCGCATTTATAACGAGGACATATTTTCTTTTTCATGTGAATCACTGCTTTTCAACTGTCCTAGAATGGTTAGTTTCATACACTGTGTTTAAAGTAGCAATAAACACCAAGTGGGTTCATTAGTGAGCAAAAGCAGTAATCCATACAAAAAAGGAAGAGCTTTGGGCTAAGTAACCGCAAAAAAAGCAAAACGGTGCACAAAACGTCAAAATACAGAAAAAATGTGTCGAAATCAGCATTATCGATCGAGGAAGGCGCCGACTGCGCGCCAAGTGCGCATTGTGAGCCGGAGCGCGTGTTGACGTTTTTCACCCTGTCCGAGCCGTCCGCGCGGGCGGCGCGGACGGCGCGGACGGCACGGACCGCAGACTATGAAAGCAGCCTAAGCTCAGGCTTAGTGCCATCGCGCTTGAGTAACAGCGCCGCCACGAGGTTGTCCCCAACAGGCAGTTTACTTGTCCAGTGTTGAAAGCGTTAATCAGGTGGTTTGCTTCCATAGAGGGTAACCAACATACTTGGGGAATCGCAATTCTCAGGGTTTATTCGCACGAACTCTATATGTTTTCCTTCACTCGATCTTGCTGCTTTGGTTGATAATGTTCGTCTGCCTAAAGCAAGGAAAACTATTGCGATAAGATGGCGTAGAACGTCAAGACACAGAGCTGTCTGCGGTGCTTCACTTCACGGCCAAGAAGTATAGACGTGGTCCGCAAACCGTTCCTCACTGTTTGCATTACGCTGCATTTTTATTGCGAAGATCTGGTACCAAATGATCCATCCCGATTGTGGTAATACTTTGCGACTGCATCTGATGCTCACGAGCAGTTTCACGTACAATACAAACGTTCAACTACAGATAATTGATTTTGAGAGAAATATAGCCATATTCTTCGCCTATGTATCTTACATGGCCGAATAGCTCCCATTGGGCAGAATGGATAGTTCAAGTTTTGTTTTACCTTTCGTAATTTTTTTTGAGTTCGGTAATTCAGGAGGGAATATGCGCTTCCCGAGCAGGCAATATCAGGATTACGGAATGCTCTAATTACTTGTGAGCGGTCTCCGAAGCAGATTCAGAATGAAGCGGACCAGTTATCCGACGTCTTATCGCAGCGAAGGTGTTTATCACTTGAGCATCTCATTCTTTTTTTTACCAGCGGTGTTCTTCAAATTCATACATTCTTGTCTTAAAGATTCCCTGCTACAGCTTCTGTTGTGCGAGAGGTACGAAATGCGGTCAAGGCTATGTTGATGGAGAAGAAAGACGAGGAAGAAATGGGTGACCTTCTGAAAGAAAAACTTGTATGTTCATGTTCTTCACTTTTGCTGAACTTGCAAGCGAAAAGTTATATGAATGATCGTATATATCGGTTTGTAGAAAATTCTTGCTAAATTGCAGTTTTTCATTCATATAGTTTGAACCACAAAAAATCGAGACAATATTATACAATTCTTTATGTATAACCTTGTGTATAGCCCTCTGTATGCTTTTCTTATAGAAGTCTTTGGAAGCTTTTAGAAAGGTTCAAAAAGAATTGGATGTAGGGAAAATTCACCTACAACCTAATGCGTTAAATACATAAGCAACCGTCATTTGCTTGGTGGCTACATCTACCATAGTATCAAAGTAATATGAACTGATTTCAGGGCTATACCAATTATATTTTCAGAAATCTCGTATAGACTACAAAGAACGACATCAAGTCGATAAAATCCTCAAAAAAGCCAATTACAACTGGAGGCCCCTTGCAATAGAATCGAAGGAGGCTGCTGCTGCCTATGCTCTGTCTCGGTAGGCTACGATGCTTTTCAGCAATAATTTTTTACCCTTACTTGCATAGTTACATATTTATTATTTATTTCTTTATTCATCTTGCACTCCAGGTGCGCCTAAGACAGTTAGGAATAGGATGCATATATTAGGTTGGCAAGAAAGTCCTGCGACACTTTTTCAACTTTTTGATTTTAATTCTACCTTTTTTGTTTACAACTCCTGACCGGTCATATACCTAACATGAGTGTCCACCACTTGTCTTCAACGCTCAGAAAATTTCTTGATGCTCCTCCTCCAAAACCCAGCGAAGTACGGGCCGAGATAGGAGGCGACCTCACTTCCGAGTTGGGGTTGATCGTCTAATTATTTCATCATCAAGATGATGATTTAAGGTCCAAATTAGGAGGCAGTCATTCATAGCTCGACCAGGGGATTACGCTAAGAGAGGAAAGAAATTTTGCCGCAGCTCCAGAATTTCCTACCGGACTTATTTCGGATCATGGTGATTCGCAATGTCATGAAAGAAATGAATATTGCCGCGGTACGAGGGCTCTTGACCAGCTGCCTCGGCCAGCTTCTGGTATTCCACAGCTCAGGCCTTTACTTACACAATGGTGCCCATAACGAAGGATATTTAGTAGGAGCCTCTGTAAGACCCCTACCTGTAGTGGAGTGTAGGGACGCTGCCGGCTTCTTATAAAAATATCAAAAGATCGGAAGCGCTGGTAAAGGTGAAACACGTTGTAGCGGTGAGCGACATGCCTGTTGAAGTTATTGCAGATAGCTTTGGTCTTTGACACGAATCCATGGTTATGTAGACATTTGTACTAGACAGTGACTTGAAGTGTGGTTTTACTTGTAGTCGAGGTTTTTCGAATTTTCTTGGATAACTACTTACTGCAGCACTCATATCCACCTCGTGGATTGAAGCCATGAGGCTCTACCATTTGTGGAGTCATAAATGTTACCTATGAATTTTCAAAAAAAAAGAAAATTTAGAAAGAGTGTCGCAGAGATTTCTTGCCAACCTAATAAATGCAAGCTTGACTGCTACACACACAAAACTAAAATAAACTAAGACAGTATATATTAGATTGGCTCCAACTATGCAGAAATAGCAAGAGTGTTAGATGAGTTTCAAGGAAACGATTTTTCTCCCACCAGTGTACTGGATTATGGTTGGCGGTATTGGCGCCAGGTTGTAGAACTTTGCAGCTTACTACAATTTAGGTTACCGCTGATTAAACCAGATACGTTTTCAGGCTTTTGGCTGTAAATGAACGTTTCGGAGCTGCAGTAAAGAAACTGCATGTTATCCATCACTTGCTCTGACTCAACTGGCAATGGATATCATGATGGGTTATAAGGGAATCAGTGGTTTCTTAAGGTTTGGCCTGTATGATTGCTTTTTTGAGGATCAAAATGGAAATTTTCTGAGTCACAACTTGAATTTTCGTAGACACCTGTACTTTCACTTCGACCAAAATATGATCTTGTCGTTCTGTCATAGAACTCTCTGTTGAATTGGGATCACGAGATCTCGGCTTGAAACTATTGCATCGCTGTGGAAGAGGACAAAACGGTAGGAGAGTTTATTTTTCGTGCCCATTTTAGACTTCCACGAATTCTCCGTTCTCACAGTGATCCAGGCAGACTAACATAGGCCTGACTCTTGGTGCAAACCTGCTTCATTATCGATGTAGAAATGTCGAAAATGTACATATTGTGACGTGTACTACGCTATACACATAGCGATGGGCTCCAAGGCTCACAAACCATGCCAGTTTTTGATTTCCGTTCAGGTTTCTGGTACTATCGAGTCTGATTGGAAGCGCATTTGAAGCGTTGAGGAAGCGTCTGACTTCCTCTTGTTATCCGCATATCAATGCACCTACAAGACACGACATCTCTGCTAGAGTAAGGGTGGCCCTTGTCTGAAAGTGAGAAAGGCGCATTTAAATAGGAAACATATGAGGCTGATATTACCCTTTCAGGAACACAATTTGAGTGACTGATTCAAATCAGAAGAAGTTCTTCATAACAGGACATGTTCAGCGACTTAGAGCGCTTCACGATTGTGCCGAGATATGAGTGGTTTCAATGACACGAAGCATTTGTTGCTTCATTATTTCTTCTTGTGAATGAACGGTCCTTACGAGTTGGATTTGCCCACAGCCTCTGCCTCCTGCTACCGGTAGTCCCGTTGCCCACCGCATTAAGGCAGATCCATTGCTCAAATCCAAGTAACGTAACACATTTTGTACGAGATTAATTCCTAAATTTTCCGTCTCAGAGCAGTCTTGTACTATCCCGTTCGGTGGCGGAGTCTTCGAGCGATGGCAAGCTTCGCGAAATGGAGCGTATCGGGCACTGAGGTGGAAGTTGGCTACGTCGATAGTGGAAAATGCGAGTGACGAGGGCTTCTCAAGACACGATCTTCCGAATACTATAGTGCAATACTCATTTATAATTAACGGAAATTTGTTCGGTACATCTGTCAACCATAGAATGTTACTTCGTGCCTGTTGTTTTGGCTTTAGAATAGTTGTACAGATAGGATAGTCTCTCATCTTGCAATCCATTTAATCATCCTTGACCAGCGCAAGGAAGTAAACTGTGTTCATTTGGTGCATTTTGCTGCGATGCCTGCATAGAAGCTACATCAGTTATGAATTTCCCGTTTCTTAACCATACTCGACCCTATTGGAAGAACATTAAGGTTTCTCGCCTAAGGTTTCAATACTTTTTCTATATCTAACTTTTGGCTGAGGCGTTCTAAATCGTTACTCAATCGTTGTGAATATAGTGAATCCTTCCGACTGCGTTCAAGTTTTCATGCATTCTCTACGGATACCTTTCGTTCGCCAAACATGAGAAAATTCGCTTCCAAAGCTTCCTGTTTCATGGTTTAATGATCTTTTTGACGATATAATTCACAACCCCTGTTTTAACCTTGTTCAGGCGTTAAGCCTGTGTGATTATTATATGGAGGGTGAATGTTTTCGAAGGGCAATCGAAACGCTTGTTCGATCAACAGCCTATTCAGGGTTGACCAAAAGCTAGAGATAGGGGCATTGCGATTAGCGCACAATTACAACCTCAGTAGGCGTCATAGGCAAATTTTTTCACTTAATCGTTCAATTATGTCTGCACTGCCGCGAATTGGCGCTAACTTGTTAGGCAGCTATTGCTTTCCGAATCCACTGTAAAATGCACGCTAGAGACTCTGGGTTCTGATCCTGAATACATTTGCATAAAATGTTCGGATCAAACATCAGAATAATCGCATACGACAAGGGTCACCAGTGAGATACTGCTAATGGTGAAACTTTTACGAGTCTTTTTTCAATGGCGGGCGTATTTGCTTCAATTCGGAATCACGACATACTGTAATCCGCGCTCCGCCGTCCCCGTGGGGGCCCCCCCAAAAAAAATGTCTTGGGCGATTCGAAAGCGAGGCTGAGGTGATGCGATGCTTGACGAGCTATGCAAAGGTTACCAAAAACTGATCCCCTTTCTCATAGACTACGACAAATTTTAGCTTCCGAAAAAGACCTCCTTTCGACTCAACGGGCCCTTACACTCGCTCTCAAAACACAAAAATGTTTCATGCTAGATCGGTGCTGGATGACAGCGGCCATGGTTCTTGTTTCAATTTTTACGCAATAGGTGCTCTCTGTATACTTCGACAATAACGGTGATTACGCTGGTCGCTTGAGCTTGCACAGTACTCCTAACCCATAGATTTGGCAGATTAACGACGGCAGATGGCCAGGGTGGTGTGGGCGGTGACTCGGGGTGGTGGGTTATGGTTGTGTGTTGTTGTGGGGTGTGGGGGTGGTATGCCGCGCAGTTCAAGTGGGAATGTCGAGAAGAGTT